AAGGGTTTCTCCACCAAGTACTAACACATGTTCTGCAAGGGGATCAAATACTTATTTCCCACAGTTAAATGCAAATCAATTTTTATCTTTTATATAATGTACATTTCTGGATATTCCTTTTGATATCCTTACTCTCACTGTTTATATAAACCTACCTTTAAATTACAGACTAAGTGTAAACTTATAAAATCTGCAGTGGATCAAATACTTATTTCCTCCACTGTAGATGTTAATTAGTTAATTTTAGGCTGCTGTCTTTAGATTTTGCAACATTTGGACTGAATAAACCAGACTATTTCCTGTTCTGTGCCCTTTCCTTTGCTAAGCATATCTATCCAAACCTGGCTGTCACTTCATATTAAGCCTTCAAACTGTTGACCACAGTGGCATCAAACAATAAATGATAAGGAAAACATGAAATCCATTAATTTTCCTAGGAAGATGTACTAGGGTCTGTAGATTATATAGATCCCTTCGACCTCTGTTGGGCGGCAGTGGTTCAGTCCGTAGGGACTTGACAAATATAACTGTGTGTATTTGTATGTAACTGTATAACAGAAAATGCATGTGCGTGTATAAAAAACAGAGTGGAAAACTGAGTTGAATCAATAAAGGTCCACCTATCTTTCTTTTCTTTAGGGCATTGGTGAGGATATTGATATTAGGCAGGGCATGGGGATACATAGGGTTAACTGGTTCAATTGCAACCAGTCTGTATCACTGAAGTTCAAAGCAAGTACAATGAGATGAGGTATACAATTAGATGAGGTCTGACCTCTGGTAAATGTCTTTGCATGAAAAAAAAAAGAAAATGTAGTGTACACACTGCACACAATGAAATGTCTAACACAAATACTCTTGTGAGGGAGAAAAGCTTCCAGGTAAAGCTTGTGTATCATCAGTGAGGGAAGTGCATCTCAGGCTGATGTTTGATGGCTGACGTTGGATGAGGTCCAATTCACTCTCCTAGCTCCAGCTGGTATCAAGACTGATGGGAAATGTAGGAGAGCTGCAGAGGAGAGGGAGAGTCCACGCTGGGTAAAGGCAGAGGGATGTGTCCATTCAGTAGTGAGGGGAACTGTACGGATGGAATCAGAGGTTAACAGATGATATTCAACACTTGCCCTTTTTTTATGAAGAGAATCCTGGAATATTCAGTGTCTGTATAAAATATATTGCAATAGTTCCACATTGATTGCAGGCTTTCATAAAAATGACTGTGTATTTTATTAAATCTTTGCAGGAAGAAAGTGGTGAATTACTTATATAAAGTCAGTTCTTAATTTTAAATAAATAAAAGCGCCTACTTCAGCCCAATGAGGAAAAACCTGGTTTTTCATTTTAAAAAATACTTTTGCACTAAAGAAACAAACCAAAGTGGCAATGGAGCTGACTGGTAATATATGAATTATTAGAAATGAGAAAAGGAATGTTTATATGACATTTTAAGAGAGTGAAGATTACAGTTACAGAAACCACATCCCTGAGTCACTAAAGAAAGAAAGTCAACACAGCTTATTATTTGATATAAAGTAGTCCCAATAACAATACTACACAAGTTATAAAATACTACCTAGTTTTACAGTAATGTTGTATCACATGACTTCTCGTGTGACTGCTGATGCTTCACAGGAGTGTATGCTCTTTAAACCTGATAGAACACCAACATCAAGTGTGTGTGTCTGTGTATATATATATGTGTATGTATGTGTGTGTGTGTGTGTGTGTGTGTGTATGTGTTGAAGGGAGAGGTTCCTGACCAACCAGTCCGCTCCCCCTAGCCAACAGGAAGTTGCCCCCTCTTTTTGTCCACTTTAGAACGGAAACATCTGTGACTTATTGTGAAACCCTGGCACGCGGTGAATCACACACACACACTTACAGACACACAACTGTTTAAAAAACGACTTTTGAGGTATGTCTGCCGTGTAAAGTGACTAAAGTTCCTGCAGTTGGAACAGAGGGATTTGCTGTTCATAAAGATACAAATATTTAGTATCCATTGCCAGCAGGCCAGTGTTTTCTCTGAAAGGTTCATCAATTAAAGAAAGGTTGGATTGTTTTTTTTCCATAGGATAGTTAGAAATGAAACCTGGCATGAAAGCAGAGTAAAGTGTGTATTCCATTTTGTAGTCTTTGTATTTGAAAAAGTGATATCAATTGATGTAATTATGTAAACACACAATAAAACAATAGTTAACATTCATTCTGAGATAAAAGGTAACATGTATTGATGCTAAGCTTGTACTAAAGAATTTCTCAATTCCCATCGACTTCAAGAATAACTTGTTCAAGTTATACATATTTATATTTTTCCTCTAGTAAATATGTTGCAAGTGTTTTTTTGCACCCCAGTACTGAGGAGAACCAAGCGAGGTTTAGGGTCAGTAAACTGACAGCATCACATACAGTATTTACAGTTTGCTAACATTTCATAGCATCAGCTACCATCAACTACTTTAGAAAGATGCCAAGTAAGTTTGTAGCAGCAAACCCCCCGAGTGGATGAACTTTAGCAAGGGTGTGTTTACTGCCCCTGATTTCTACTTGTAACATCTATTGATGAGTGAGTCTTTTGCCCACTAATAAAAGCCCTTGCATTTCTACACTACGAACCAGGTGTCTATTTCGACACTCCAGAAAAAAGATAACTCTGGGAAGTGACATCCAAAAACACACCTGTATTTACTGCTTACCAGCCACACATGCCATGAAAGAGAATAAATCAGAGATTTGACAGTGAGTGTTACATTACATGAAATCAAGATTTATGCCAAACCATTCAACATCATGCACAATCTCATTTCACACAGTGACTGGCCCTGCCGTCAATGAGTCCCTCAAAGTGTGCAGCAATACCAAATGTTTGTGAGTGTTTATGTGTGTGTTTACCTGAAAGAGGGGGGCATGGCTCTGTAGTTGTGCAGGGCTGAGGGGTCCCATTGGGCTCAGGCTTGACCAGAAATGGATATTGGAGAGTAGAGAACTAGAAGTGAGCAGCAGACCAGATGGAGCCTGCATTGACAAATGCCATAATGAAAATAGTATGAATAAACCAGGAAGGAAATGATTGAGATGAATGTTTATTCTGGCAGTTAGTCCAGAGAGGAGTTCCCCCAGCTCAGAGCCCGGAGTCAACCTTGGCTCTCAGTCAGACTGACTTAACAGGTCAGGAAGCTCTGCTCATACACAATTCATGAGATCTATTTTCTTCAGTCTCGTCTATCTTCTGTCACTTCACATTTGCCTAAGGCCAGTTTGGTTTTCTGTCTGGTTCTTTTATGGAAAGATTAGATGGTTGGTTCTATCACAACAGCCAGAAACCTCTAAGCTCAAAATCCACTTCAAATGTTTCTTTTAGAAAAGTTAAAATGTTAACAAATACATTTGAGGATCTGTTTTCTCTTAAAAGCTGTGCTTCTGAAATATTGTTTGCCAGTTCCATTTTTCTCAGGTAATTTTAGTATCTCAACTCTTCTTTGTTCGGACCACTCAGCAGGAGTTTGAGTCTAGTTTTCTTCCAGCTACTTTCTAAGGACTGGCTTATGGTGTACCGTCAGTATTTAGATTTGTCTGATTTCTGAACTAGAGCTCACGGCTTGACTAAAGAGACACCCGTAATCACCATAAAGTGGTTTCTGATGAACAGGGATAACTACAGGGACTTTTCTGTCCGGAGGCCTGTACGAAGAATTCCACAGACCCTGGATATCTGTGTGTTATCTGACTTAACTAACCCTAAAGAACAAGGTCTCGCTAAGCGGATAACAACTCGGTAACTCAACCAAACCGTAATAATAATATTTGACAAATATAAAGAAGTTAAACCTTGAACATCCCTGAATTAAACACATTTCTTATCTCAAACATAACCTGCCCTGGATCAAGTTAGGTGTTCAGCATTAGTTACCATGGTGATCTTCCCTGGCAAGAAGAGAACCAGCGTCTTAGTACCGAAAACTCTGAGTTAACCCTGTAGGCACCTCGCTAACCACACATCCTGCTTCTAGTACAGGCCTCTGGTGGAAGTGAATAAGGGGCTGTAGATAATAACCAACAGCTCTTTGCACAAACATAATTCAGAAATGAAATGAAAATGATTGATTTATCATATACTTTTGTTTCCATTAACTATATAGTGTACACTCAGAAGCCCATCATTGCTCCAACTGTATTTATACATGAGCTGAATTCCTGCATGTAGACAGACTTGGTATGTCTGTGTGTTTCTGTCAGTGAATCAGGGGCTTCAGGAACATATGGCTTTACTTATAAACCGACTCCTCCGTCACCTCCTCTCTTCTTCCAGCTCACCTCCTTCCATCTCCTCCCTGTCTACAAGCCTAACTTCCTTCATTCACAAAATGTATCTTCCTACCTAGTCTTGTTCTTCTTGTCTTTTGCTCAAACCACCTGTATTGCAGGACAGCTATGTGTGAATGGTCTGGTGTTACATGTTCTGTGTGATGTTGTACCTGTGTGGTAAGGAAGGCAGAGGTCAGGGAGCCTGAAGGCAGCGCCGGGCTGTTGAGAGCAATAGAGACGAGGTCACTTCCTGTCAGCAGGAGAGAGGAGGCAGAGATTTCCAAGCCTTTGTGTTTTCGTCTATTGGCCAATCTAATCCTCTCTGGCATTGGTGCACCATGCAACCTCACTCTCTCCCTCTGCCCAGAGGACAGGTTCAGAGGCTGAGCAGTCAGCTCTAACTCATCAGTCTCTGAGCTCCGCCCTCTCCACTGTGTGTGGGCGGGGCTCTGTGGTGGGGAGGAGCAGCAGGAGGAGGAGCTGGCCAGCCGAGGAGATGGTCTGGAGAAATCAGAGGTCTCAGTTGAGGATGGGGGTGGGGTGGGGGGTAGGGAGGAGTGGCCACGGTTTGTTACGAATCTGATGACAGAGGAGTTGTCGCGATGGCGATCAGCTCTGGGTTCTGTCTTGATGGGACGATGAGGTTCTAAGGGGGGCTGCAGGGAGCTGACGGGGAAGGAGGAGTACAGACTTGAGAGGTGGTACTGGTTCCTCCCACCCCCATCCTCGTCTTCAGCCTCAGGCTCTGACAGCCCCCCCCCACCTCCCTCACTGTGGCCTGACTCCACCGCTGCAGGGTCCATCTTAAGGATCTCAGGGAAGGACACAAACTTGTAGACAAACTTCTGGCCGATCACCTTCTTTATAATGTTCTGCAGAGCAACAAGACAAGATTTCTAATTTAAATTTCAGTTGGGTTTCAAGGCCCTTAGGACAATGATAAAACACCAAAGCAAGAACAATGCAATCATTTGAAAATGTGCATACTTTGTCGTAGTAGTAGCGCAGGGCTCGGCTCAGCTTGTCATAGTTCATGTTGGTCTTGCTCTTGCGCAGCCCCCACAGCTTGGCCACCTCCTCTGCCCTCAGCAGCTTGAACTCTCCGTCGCTGGACGTCCAGCAGATCAGATGTTGGTGGCTCTGGTCGATGAGCAGCTGCAGCAGAAACTGCCAGAGAGTGATGGAGCTCTCCATGACGGAGGAGAGACTGGCGATCTGCATAGGAGAGGCAAGACTCAGTGAGAGGACAGTCACTAGACAACCATTCTGTAGTGAACAAGATGCAATACTTTACAGCACAAATATTATATATTTTATATATTATCGCCTTACCACCTGTTGTTTCAAATGTGTGCAAACATAACATTAACATTTATTTGGAGTCATGTTGTTTGGTGATAATCATCTACTGATTTGTCAATTCAATGAGTTCAGTCTTGCATGACATGTCAAGGAAATTGTTGCAGAATAATATAAAGTAACTGAAAGGTACTTTATATCTATTTACATGGTATTTAGATGTATTTAAATGTTTTCATATATTAAAACGATTTCATCTTTGACTGTTAAGGTTGTCACAGTCTGCTCCATCATTCACCAGTAGTTTTCCATTCACCTGTCTCACCTGTTAAACACACACACGTTTTTGCTCACTCTCTTTCTCTACCGCACCCATTAGTCACTGCCAGTATTTAAACCCTCACCAGACACACACCCGTTGCCAGATCGTACTTTGCCTTCATGCTAGTCTTTCATGCTTTTGTTACCAGATTGCCTACCCGGTTCTGACCCTGCTTGTCCCTGACCTGCCTGCTCTGCCTGTTCCCTGATCCTGCCTGTCCTTGGACTATCCTGCCTTGCATGCTGTCTGACCCTGCCTGTACCTACGTTGCATGCCTCGCCTGCTCCCTGACCCTCTGCCCGGCCCTGACTCACCTTCTGCCTGCTGTCCTCTGGTTCGCTTGCCTGCACGTCCCCCGGCTGTTACTGTTCTGCTGGTATCCCTCTGCTCTGGTAATACCAATAAAGTATATTACCAATAGTCTTTGGTTTCTCGAGTGCTGCATTTGGGTCCTTCATCAGATTGTGACAAAGGTATTCATACGACATGGAAGACATTTTAAGAAACACGGAAATAAAGGAGGGTGGGTGGGCAGGGAGGACAAGGAATTGGTAACCACGCTCCTTCACTGCTGTTAAAGTCCACAAGCCTTCAGAGGCGGCCATGTTTTTCACATCCTCACATCCACACACCGAAGCCACTCACACACATGTAACGCATGAGGTACAGCAAGCAGGGTATTATTGCAAAACTAAATAAACGTTTGATGCAGGACTCAACATGTTGTGTCTCTTATACTTGTGCTACATTAATCAATACTTGGACACAGTAAATAATTTAAAATAATTTCATTGCACCCCTAAATAAACGATGTCCATACCAACAGTCTGTTATTCATAGCAGTTCTCTCCTACTCGGGATAAAAACAGACTATCATGTCGTGATTAACAAATCAGAATTGACTATTCATCGAAGCATGTAAACAACCCCAACATTTCTCTCACTGTAGTATGTGAACAAAATATTGAATCTATATCTTACATATGAACTCAGACTCTTTTAAGTCATGGACTCAGAGACTTTGGCTGCGTTCAAAAAAATGTATTAAAATTATTATTGTTATTATTATTATTTGTATCTTTTTTAAATTCAAATGAGAGATGTAGTGATGTGTGATGAGTGATGTGTCTGTCTGTTTCTCTCTCCACCACCCTGTCTCTCTCTCCATCACTTTGATTTAATTAATTTAATCTTCCTTTATAAGAAGCAAGTACAAACTACTTATTGCCAAAAGACAAACAACAAATAAGTAATCAGAAACAGATTTAATTTGTCACTATGAGAATATCCCCATGGCAACCATTAGCCTAAGAAGAGGAGAAGCATTGGAGAACATGAAGCGATTTATATTTTATATTATAATCTAATATCAAAATCCTCCTTTCTCTCTCTGTCATTCTAACAGGATACCACCCAGCAGAGAGGGTGGTGCAAACAATGACCCACCGACACAAACACACACAACCTCCACCGCTTCCTTTTCCTGCATGGGTGTGTGTGTTAAGTGAGGGGAGCAGTGCAGTGCTGTCTGTCTAAACGAGGACTTCCTGTCATTCAGCTCCAGGGGCGTCTTCCCGGGGAAAGGCCTTCCCCCTGCAGGAGGTAGGACGTCCTGTCACTGGGAACCACGAGGCACACACACACACACACACACACACACACACACACACACACACACACACACACACACACACACACACACACACACACACACACACCTATGTTTTTGTATTAAGATGTTATTTTTAACTCTAAGTGGATGCTGAAGTTTACTTTGAGCAACATCTCAACAAATACACACGCTCACAAAGACAGACACAAACACACATGCACGCACGCACGCGCGCGCACGCACACGCGCGCGCACACACACACACACACACACACATAATATGGAGAATTCCTCTATGAATTATGTCAGACTGTGTTTGATCTGTGCTGCT